CTTCTTTCCAAAGTAAAAATAAGCAAAATCATTCAATTTTGGCTAAAACTTATATGGCTCTACACAAAAACTATTAAGGCTTTTTAGTAAAATAATAATTGAAGTACGTACCTACGTACCTAAAAAAGTCATAGAAACTTGTAGAAACTAGATAATTATTTAAAAACTAGAATAACAATATATCTTTGCAGTTTAAAATGGAGTTTTACCATATACACTCTATAACCTTCTCAGTTTTTAAAACTCATGTCTAATAAATAGATTTAGTGGGTCTGACAGGAAAGTTTGAAGGAAATAAAGAAGATATTTCTAGAAAACAAACCAAGATAGTTTTTAAATAATTGCAAAAACACTGATCCCTCTATAGTAAATAAAAATTATGGTATTTTATTATCTCTAGCTATAAACGGTTATAAAGAACCCCTTGAGTCAGTGTTACTAACAAAAACAGCTTCTACATACATTTCCAGACACAAATCAATTTAATCAAAGTTTGTATCAAGACCTTAAAAAGACTACCTTAAAAAAACTAATGTCTAAGAAACTTACTTTTTTGCCATGTGTTTTAAATCATTATTAAAAAACAAAACAAACAAACAAACAAACTTAAAAGGCATTTTTACCATTCCTTGGCATGGAAATGAAGAGGAACATCAGGTTTGAATTTCCTATATGGCAGGTTTTGTGTCATCATATCAACTGATTCAAGAAGCTCCATAACACTGAAATACTAAAGAATGGACAAATTAAAATTCTCAAATGTTTGAAGTTTTTTGCTCAACTGAAAAGTGAAATTACCAACTTTTTAAGGAAATGCTACCATATAACATTATGAATTTTAGAAAAACATTGAAAATCTTAGTTCTGCTTTGATTAAAAAATAACTCAAAACTTAAAATTTCATCAAAGAAAATCACCTGTGGTTTATTAAATTCAATTGCTATGCTATGTAACTCAACTTCCAAGTTTATTTTGGGGTCAGAAAAGTCAAAATCTGATCGGCGATTCATCTGAAGTTTGGCTTTAGCAGATATGGGGCGAAATACTGAAAAACAATAGAAATTGAAAAAAATTAAATTCAATCATCCTTTAAAAGTCTCAAGGCACCAAAGGGATCAAGTTGAAAACACTGATTTTCATTTCTTTTATACCCTTTCTACAGTTCTTAAATGTCCACACTGCCATAACTTGGTCCAAAGAACTGTTTCTTAATGAGTGAAAATGGGTTTTTTTCTTTCTTATAATTCATGTTACCTTCCATAAGTAGAATAAGGCTAACAAAACGCACCCTCAGAACACCAATAAATGTTTAAAAGCAGCAACACTCAACTATAAGGAAAAACAGTCCAATAAAATGGTTTCACTAAAAGTACACCGTTAAAATTAGAAATATTATGAGGAAAACAATTATATTTAAAATTGACTTTCATTTTATGATTTTGAATTCTAAATTTCTCTGTATCTTCCTATTCCTCCTTTCAATTTGTGAAAAAAGGGCAGAGAAAATGACAGTTTTTCCCAGATTACCTGCTTCGCTCATTCCATCATACCAAAAAGAATAAGAACTATGCAGAGGGAGACCAATAATAGCAGAATCCAGACAGACATCAACCATCAAATTATAAACTAATTTGTATACAATGATAATGCATTCCTCTTAATCATCCCTAAAGACTATCACTTACTACAACTGATTGATCTGCAAACTTTTCACTTTGCTACATGTCCTTAGTTTCATCCATACTCTGCCATGTTATTTTTGTGTTACTGTTTTTAAAGTCTGTTTTCTCTACTTTTTAAAATGTCTTAACTGATAGGTAAAAGCATAAAAATTATACCTATTAATGGGTTGTCATCTACTGTTTGAATACATGAATACATCGAGAAATGTTTAAATATGGTTAAACATATCTATCTATGTCCTCAAAGATTCATCATTTATAGTGAAAATTTCATGATAAAAACTTCCTTTCCAGCTGGGCATGGTGGCACATGCCTATAATCCCAGTGGCTTGGGAAGCTGAGGCAGGAGGATCCCAAGTTCAAAGCCAGCCTCAGCAACTCAACGAGGCTCTAAACAACACAGCAAGACCCCAGTACTAAACAAACAAACAAACAACTCCCCTTCCTAGCATTATGCCAGTTATGAATTTATTGCCTGTGAATTCCAAATTTACCCTTTATGCCTGCTCTGAAAAATGGTTTAAGGTCCTTCAAATATTTTTCCTTTACCAGCCATTATAATAATAACCTTTAAACCACTAGCGACACTACAGAGGAAGGATTTATCCTGCCTGTTTCCAGTGTGGTCATTTAAAAAACTTCTACAAAGGAATGGTTCTCCATTCCTTTAGAACAGACTTTAACCACTGACTGGTTCCTATAGCATGAAGGTATTTAGAACCAGCCTTTTGAAGGTAGAGCTTAGAGCAGCAACTTCCCCTACTACCCTACTTAGGAAGACCTGTACTAAAGTACTGACAGTAAGAAACCTCTCCATGAGGCTAACCAGGGAACAGATTTGCAGGCACAGCAGAATAGGGACTTTCTGCCATTCAGTGAGCTACAACCATTATCTCTCCAACAAGGTCTAGACCTCAGTCCTCAGGAAGGGGTCCTTCTTTAGGCACTTCATCTTAGCCCTAGGGTAGAAGCTATTTCTTTTATCATCTACTCCTAAATTTTTTAGATTTCTCTTCTTTTTTTTTTTTAACTAGTCAACACCTTGTTACTCCAAACCTGTCTAACAGTTAATATTTATTTACATTAAACTTTACATGTTCAAATTATATTCAATTCTCTCTCTTCATTGGATCCTTACTGATACAATATAAAATGACCACAGGGCAAAGGAGAAATAAGTCAAACCTTAAGTAACAGATTTGAGAATCATAAACATATATGATAGATAGCTCTTCTATTCTGAGCATTTCCTATGAGGAACAAGTTTAAAAATGAAACCATATTCAAAAAAATGAAAATAATATTTTAAGAGTGGGAAGAATAAGAAGAGCCATTTGAGGAAACTGACAAAGGTTATCAATAAGGTAGAATAATACAAAAAAGAAAAATACTTTCAGGGAGAATATTTTGTGGTTAATGACAGCAGGCAGCCAAATTCAAGAGTGCCCTCAGGATTGAAGAAATGACACTCCTTTTCTCTGTGTATTTTAGTAACTTGTTTCACATTATAAAAGCAATATGTATTCATTTAGAAAATTTGAAAAACAAAAAACTATAAAGAAGAAAAATTTTAAGTGCATGTTTTTAAAATAGTAAGATCACAGTGCAACTAAAGCTATGCAGCTAGTTTTATTAAGCTGTATTTGCTATGTCAAAATATCTTTATAAACATTATCTTAATATTAAATATAACTGAATATAAGCCTTATTGAATATATTCCTTAGAGATTTATCACAATTTATTACCGTATTTGTTTTTAGACATTTTCTCCTGTAGTTCTGAATGATAACTAAAGCTCCTAAGCATATAAAAAAGATAATTTTTTTGTTTTTCAAATTTTTTTTTGTTGTTCTTTGTAGTTATACATGACAATAGAATGTATTTTGACATTTCATTCATACATGGAGTATAACTTCCCATTCTTGTGGTTGTACATGATGTAGAACTATACTGGTTGTGTATTCATTCATACATGAACACAGGAAAGCTATGTCTCATTCATTCTACTGTCATTCCCATTCTCATCCCTCCTCCTTTCTTCTCACATATATTAAATATATTATAGAGATCTCAACTATACAAGAGAAAATTTAATATAAAAGAACAGTGATATCAAAAATGTTAATGTACATTTTATACTGATTTTTATTTTATTTTATAGAAGACACTTACCAAAATCATAACCTTTTGGAGCAATATATTCATTAACAACGCCATTCTTCAAGTTGTCCTATTAAAAGACAAATTACTTTTATTTATATTCACATCAATATGCCTTTATCCTATAAAATTCTATTATCTGCAAAAAATGTTTAAAACCACTTAGCTATGAGAAAATATTAAAGTAATTAAACAATATAGCACTAAACTACTACAAAACAATGCTTTAAGAGATATTAAGATATGCATATATGTGTGTGTACGTGCATTCATGCTTGTGTAATTCACCTATTAGTATAAATAGCTAATGGATTTTACCTAGGAAAAAAAATACCAACTCTGGTAGTGATAGAATACTTATGATGAATTATACTTTATACAAAACAAACATATACTTTATACTAACAAACATATATGCACACATCCAAATAATTTACTCACCAATGATTTGTCATAATCATTAAGATAAAACATCTGAGACTGTACATTCCAGTAGGCAAAAAGATTGTCCAATCGAATTAACTGAAAATAAATCAAATTTATTATGTTTTATTTTCTTTGAAGTATTAACATAAGCCATTCAGAAGTCTCAAATAATTGAGTGATATGACAGAGTTAAGCAAACAGCAACAGTTCACATTAACTCTTTCTATATGTATATTTTCATTTATTTTTCTAAAAGTCTCTTTCAAGTCAATGAGTTAGCATTTATTTATTTTACCTTACGAACTAGTTTCTCAGTTTCATCTTGTAAATATGGAACCCAGTACTGATCAGTGGTCTGAAAAGGGAAAAAAGAAGAGCAGTAAAATGATCATTACATTTGAAATGGCAGAGTGCTGTCATTATAACCTAAGACCAATTTCTCATGAAAATGTCATTAAATATATATAATTTAGGAAAAAAAACCTTTAGAAGATGGAAAGATATCCTGTGTTCTTAATTGGCAGAATAAATATTGTCAAAATGGCCATACTACCAAAAGCAGTATACAGATTCAATGCAATCCCTCTCAAATACCAATAACATTCTTCACAGAATTAGAAAACAAAAATTCTTAAATTCATTTGGAAGAATAAGACACACAGGATAACCAAAGCCATACAAAGTAGGAAAGCAAAGAAGGAGGCCTCATAATAGCTGATCTGAAATTATGCTACAGAGCTATCTTAACAAAAGCAGCATGGACTGGCAGCAAGATAGACAAGAAGATGAAAGGAACAGAAAACACAGAGACAAAGCCACATTTCTACAGCCATGTGATATTTGACAAAAAGTGCAAAAAATATATTTTGGAAAAAGCCTTTTTAACAAGTGGTGCTAGGAAAACAGGATAGCTATGTGTAGAAAAAAATAGAAACTAGACCTATATCACCCATCCTGAACAAAAGTCAAACTGAAATGGATCAAAGGCTTAGGAATTAGAACAAAAATTTATAACTGCTAGAAGACAATACAGGGCCAACATTCCATCATATAAGTGCTGACTTCCTTAACAAGACCCCCATAGTGCAAGAAACACACACACACACATTAAAAAAAAAAAAAAAAAAAAAACACACAATGGAGTTTTACTCAGCCATTAAAAAGAATGAAATTATGGCCTGTGCCAGTAGATGGAAATGGAAGTGAAACTAGCCAAACTCAGAAACTTAAAGGTCAAAATATTTTCTCTCATATGCAGAAACTAGAGTAAACTAAAGGAAAAGGGAAAGGAAAGATAAAATTACATAAAGAACCAATCAAATAAAATAATAGGCTAGGGAGCAAAAGGAAGTCTAGTAGAGGAAGAAGCATGGGAGAGGGGAGGAAGGATAGGTAGGAAATGTGGGTGGAGGGACAAAGGGGGTGGATTGTGAACCAAAATCAAACTCCTTGAACATATCTGTTTGTCAGAATGAACTCAACTACTATGTAGAACCACAAAGCTCTAATAATCTTTTTTAAAATATACCATTCCAACTGGTTGTGGTGGCACACACCTGTAATCCCAGAGGCTCAGGAGGCTGAGACAGGAAGATTGCTGAGTTCAAAGCCAACCTCAGCAAAAGCGAGGCGCTAAGCAACTCAGTGAGACCCTGTCTCTAAGTAAAATACAAAATAGGGCTGGGGATGTGGCTCAGAGCCTTTGAGTTCAACCCCTGGAACCCCACCCCCCAAAATCATTCAATCAAAGACTACTAAGGACCACAGGAAAGTCTCTGCTTTCATGGAGGTCAAAAACAAAACAAGTAAATACAAACAGGTAAGTGTCACCACAGAGGTTAAATAGTTAACTGTGACAGCAAAGAGCTTGCCAAATGGCAGTGGCAACAAAGAGCTTGCCAAATAAAATGATGATCAACTTAATAAAGTGAACTATAGAAATGACACCTGAAAAAAGGCTTATGACTAACCTAATTTATGATATGAGTAGAAATTATTGATCCTCAGTAGGAATTATTGTTCACAAAAAGAAGGCCCAAAGATATGTAAAGATGACACGTTCAGAGAACTGAAACAACGCAGTATGGCCAGAGAATATAACACAAACAAAGAAAAGAGGTAAAATCTGTTATGTTACGTGGAGTCAGATTACAAGATTTATAAACTATACAAAGACAAAACTACACATTTTTCCTTAAAGCAATCAAGGTATTCTGTCCTTATTTTCAACATAACAGCAGTATTTGACAACTTACCCTACCCACTTTAGAGTGACTTTTCACTTTTTGTTTTTGCTTATGGTAGAGCCATGAAAAATGAAATCATACATAAAACCCAACAGATACAAGATATGCAACTATATAATAAAAAACTATATAGAAGTTAAACTGCATTACATGTGAGGGGAAAAAAGAGTTTTTTAAATATTGTGAAGTGGAAAAGTTAACGTACTGAAGAAACATAAAATATTTATGTAAACTTTTCAAATAAACCTACATTTTTAATGAACATATTGTATAAAAGTTTTAATACTTAGAATGTTTATCTCTAGGGGAGATGAGAAGGGTGAATTGAAAACAAAAGGAGTTTAAACTTTATCTATAACTGTGTAGTCCTATAAAATTATTTAATATTTAGAGTAAGTAACAAATTCAACAACTATTCATTCTGAATGCAAGCAAATTTTTCAAAATTCTCTGTGTTCCTTTATTTTCAAAATTGCTCTATTTTACAATTAAACAGGAGAAAATATGCGACAATACTAATAATAGTGGTGAGGAAATGAATTCTTAGAGTTTTTCAAGACTAATCAAAGATTCCGAAACAAATATTTATTATTTTTATTTAGTACTTATTTATTAGAACTTTGGAAATATTTTTGCAGTGCTGAGGAGAAAATCAATTTTTTAAGCAAACAAAAGTATCTAACATTGTAGTTACCAATAATAATAGGCACTCACATTTTAAACTAAATTTTATTTCCAGTTTCATAAATGTGAATTTACTTTCCCCTCAATTCCAATTCTATGTATGACTTTTCTACAACTAAATGCAAAACTATTTCTAATACAGCATATACAAATCATAATTGTAGTCTGAATAACGGTATTCCACAATTAAATATCGTCATTACTTTTTTAAATGAAGTACCTGCATGCTGAGATTTTGTAAAGAAATACCAAATGACAGTGGTTTCTCACGATTTGTGATCTAAAGAGGGAAAAAAGAAAATCTTAGTCAAATTTGTTAACAGTTGAACAAAATTCACTTTATGGAAAAAGTTAACTTTCTAGGAAGTATCCTATTTTGAATATTCAAAAACATTGTATTTCTTCCTTTGAAAATATCTTTGGTTCCTACATTTTTCCTAAAACAAATTAAAATACTAAATATTAACATCTGTGTTATACTATAATGATACACCTACACAATGTTTTCTAGTTTATAAAAAAAAGTTTATTAAAAAACATTGACACAGGGCTGGGGTTGTGGCTCAGTGGTAGACAGCTTGCCTAGCATGTGTGAGACACTGGGTTCTATTCTCAGGACCACATAAAAATAAATAAATTAAATAAAGGTATTGTGTCCGTCTACAACTAAAATAAATTTTTAAAAAAAGACTGACACAGTAATACTATAAAGCAAATAATTCAGTGTTTTAAGAGAACAACAAATTAAGCTCAAACAATTAGTTAAGCCTAGCACTATTGATCTCTAGAGCAGAGCTCTTTCCAGGAGATAAAAGTAGCATATTTTTAAAAGTACTTAATTTTGAAATTGGTAATTTCCAAGGCATTTTCATTCATGATCTGGAGTTTGAACAGTTTGGGAAAATGTAACTAAACACTCACTATTAACAACTGAAAATTACAACACACATTCATGTGCTTAGTACGCATGAGTCCCCACAATCAATCCTCAGTTCCCAATAAAAGAATAGATCATGTTATCTTCAGTTTTATATCTTTCAACCTCTCAGCATTATTTAATAGTCTGGCTAGTATAAAGTAAGTATCAACAAATAGTACAATGACTTACATATAAATGTATCTTTTAAAATCATCTATATTTTTAAAATACTTACATCATCTTCATAACGAATATGGATGTTGGAAATTTTCACTTGAAGATTTTTTATGATCTGAGTAACTAATTTTTCTGTAAAAGTATCCTGTTTCTCTTCCCGCTGTTGTTCTACAATTGCAAATATTCCTTTTATTTAATTTGAATGAAACATACATCCTGTAACTATCCATACATTGAGGGAGCATTTTTATAACATCTTGCTTAAGAAAAATAGAGATTTAAAAATTCAACACTAAAAGCATGCTTTCCAAAAATCTTTCAAACCAAAAACTTTCAAAGACAATCAAATACACAAAATTTTTCAAAACATAGTTTCTTGTTCAATAAAACTAAAGTCAAAGAGGTAAAATTTACTGGCATCAAATTTTATAATTTATCTGTTAACTATGTCTAAATCTATAAAGAGGAAAACAATGAAGACT